AAATAAGAATTAAGGACTGTGAATTCAGAACTAAGAATTAGGTACAAAGAACTGTCTGGTCTTCCATATATATCTAACGTCCGTTTATTTATGTATTGTAAATATACAAAGCTGCCCGTTCTTCGTGTTATCGATTTATTATCTGGTACTGATTAAAATAAGACAGCCAATCAGTTCAATTATATTAACCTATGATTTGCCGAATATACAAGACCACGTGTGCAGCCAACAAGACGTTCAGAAATTCTGTTCGATTTGTTGCAAATTTAAAATCTTTGCGACTCACAGAACGAAACAATGAGTGCAGCACCAAACAACTGGGATGCAATGGTTATTGCAGTAGAGGTATTATTTATACCTTTAATATTAGTTGGAAACATTGCTATTATTCTAATAGTTCTGACTTACAAAAAACTTCGTAAACCAGGAGATATTCTTGTCACTAACTTAGCCACTGCCGATCTAATGGTTGGACTAGTTGTATTACCGCATGATTTGTATGATCTCGTATCCAAGAAATATTTTATGGTGGCAATGCCCTGTTATATAACTGCTTTTCTTTGGACATTGACTCTAATCAGCGCCGTCCAGTGTTTATTTTTCATTGCAGTTGAAAAATATTTTGCGATAATTCATCCACTGAAACACTTAGCCCGTGCTACAAATAAAAAAGCAGTGTGTGCGGGCATCGTGAGTTGGGTAACATCTCTGAGTCTTGCTGTGTGTAGTTTACTCATTCATAAAAACTGGGAAACCAGTGTCCACTGTTCATACAGACCAAGTAGTATGACTGTTATTAATGCTTGTTTTCTATGCTTCTTTGTGCTGGCATCTGTTATCATATATTTTAGAATTTTCGCTGCCATATCAAAACCCTCAATATTTCCGTTTGGCAGTGCTGCTATGAGATCTCGGGGAAGTCACATTAAGAAGACGAAAACAATGGCTGTCGTGTTTTTTGGATTTGTTTTACTCTGGAGCCCCCTAGTTATTTATTTTTTGTATTTGATCGTCACGAGACAGTCATCGTTTTTTCAGGGCTCTAAGCTATTTATCCTACTAGGAAGTTCTAATTCTATTAATAACTGGATTGTGTATTTTTGTAAACGTGAGGAATTTCGGAAAAGAGTGTTTAATTTTTTTAAAGGGAAGTCAGAAAACGCCATAGAAGGAGATCCACAAACCATTAATGTGAATATTGCAACAAATAATGTTTAGATGTGAATATTGTGACATATATTGTTTGGATGTTATTATTGGGACAAATATGATTACTGTTTAAATGTGATTATTGGGACAAATGATGTTTAGATGTGACAATTCCACAATTACCGCAGTTCACCGATGTACTTCGTAAAGTATTTTCTATGCTGTAAAATAAGAAGTAAATGTTTCAAAAATACCATATGTTTGGATGAAACAGTTTCAAAAATATATACAGTTCTTTTGATTCAAAAGATTGTTTAGATGCACAAGATTTAAAAATAATATATATACATAAATAAATAAAAAAATCCGTCCAGATAAAAAATTATCGACTCATTAGATGAAAAAACTTTAGAAATATATCGACTCATTTGTGATTCAAAAGATTGTTTTGATGAAGACGTTTTAAAAATGTATCGACTCATTTGTGATTCATACGATTGTTTTAAAAATATCTTTACTCATCTGTGCCCTGAAAGATTGTTTAGAAAAAAAAAGGATTTAAAAATATATCGACTCATTTGTGATTCAAAAGAATGTTGTAATAATATCTTGACTCGTCTGTGCCTTGAAAGATTGTTTAGATGAAAAATGTTTAAAAATGTCTTAACCCATCTCGCTCTCGGTATACCCAATGGTATCGTTCCGTTTTACACCACTAACCCCTAGATCCATTTACAGTGGAGGCACGTATTCAAATTACCTTCTCTTGATACTTTTACTAATTTTATCGACCAATTGAGTGGGCAGAGGGAAGTATTTTATTGCAACTACGGTCGCCGAACCTTTCTGAAAATATTGTAGGACATCGTTTTGTGTGCATGTCACTTAGGACATTAAATTTCTTGCAACCCTTCTCATAATCGAGCGTACAGGCTTCTTTATTTTGCTGACCGTAAACACTGACGCTAAGATTGGCATGTAAGCTGTTTTTGATTGGTTCGTAGTATCAACCTACGTGACCAAGAAATTATCAAGAGCAGATAATTTGTATTCATGAAAATCCCGTGAATGTACCCAGGTTTTAGTGATGTAGAACGGAATGATACCACTGGGAATACCCAGTATGTACCTGTGCGTTTAAAGATTGTTTTGATGATCAAATAGTTTCCAGTGCTATATTAATTAACTCATTTGTGATTTTAAAAATTTGTGTAGGTAAATAGTGTCAAAAATGTATCGACTTATTTGTGATTCAAACGATTTTTTCCGATGAAATACAGATACTTTAAAAGATAATTTGACAGATATTACAGTTCGAAGTATACCCCAGCACTTCTGTGTGTTAAAATATTGTTTAAATTGAACAGTTTTAAGAATACCTTGGTATATATGTGCTATATTTATTTTTAAAATTATCTAGTGCAGCACTGCATAGTATTAGGGAAATCTTTCAAATGTGGATAAAAGTATCAACATTGGAACAGATACACCTTTGGGGCATACTCTTTTGAAAAAGCCCATTAGCCATTCGAAAATCCACGATGGCATTCATTTTCATGATGGTCGACTTTTGGAAAACGATTATGAAGTATCATTTTTTCGCACCAAATTGTCCTATTTTGTAGACCCTTATCATATAATTGAAGTTTCATCTACATCATACAAACATTCTGCATAAAAGTGAAGGCGACGACATAAAACGTCCACGTAAAACTGTTCTCTCAATCGTCCCACTGGCTAATGTTATGTGAACGAAAAGTCGAACAGTCCAACAATGTTGGAAAATGACCGCTATTTTGAAAATACAAGTGGCAAGCGTGATTTTCTTTATAAATGGCCCTAAATGGACACCAGGGAATAAATGGCATGAACACAATGATTTTGAGTTTTTGCGCCCCCTCCCCTCTTAAATGTAGTAAAATTGGTAAAAACTTTGCTCTTTAAATAAATAATAGCATTATTTTGTTAGAGAAGTCATATCTCACACACTCGAATTGAATGAGGGATTGGTTGACACATAATAAAAATATTTATAATTTGGTAAACATAGCTGGTTCTGTGTGAAAACAAAATATCATCTGACCACTAATGATAGGAAATTACTATTGCATCATTTGGCTTAGTAACTCTGATCAATTAGATACTTGAAAGCCGAAACACCAGGATTAAAAAACCACCAGAGCTCTAGGCGATCAACAGACAGCCGCTAGATTCTTCGAGAGGGTCGTGTAGATTCGTTGGAGAGACCGCTGAAGTTCAAGAGACACCATCTGGATTGAGTAGACCCCATTGATTTGTAGGAGTCATATGATGTAGTGTGTTCCATCAGTAAAGTCGATCTGCGAATTAGGGGTAGACAGAAAGGCATGTTAATTTTAAGTATTGTAATGTAACCTATAACCTTGTAACCTATTATCCAGTGCTTTATATAAAATGTAGAAACGTACTGTTGCATTGTTATTCCTGGTAGATAACCACGTATTACAACGTAAATGAAGTCCCAACAAAGAGAATTACAAAAATAACCAGACACAATAATAGATGATGACAACGCTAATAAAATATGAAGCAGAAGAGAGGGTATGCGCCACACGTTGGATGTGGGGAATGTTTTGCTTATGGGTTTTCCACATGTAACCAGCGACTCATAGCACTGCATTGTACTACACAAATGGCCAAAAAATCACGCGGTTGCAATGCGGCTTTCAACATTATAATCATAATCATAATGCCAAAAGAGTGTCAAACATATTACCGTGGTTCAGATATGCTACTAATCGACTCTAGCATGTTCCACACATCCCAATATTACTCGGTGGCACTGGGAGGGCCCAATATTACTCAGCGGCACTGACCCCCCCCCCCCCCCATCTCCTCCGCACACACATATAAATATTGTTTTTTGGGGTTCGGACGGGATCTTGCTCCTCGTGTAAAATCATGGGTCACTACGCCCCTGATGACACCTATGCAAATTTGAGTGCTTGTATACAGATTTGAACGATTCTTACAGTTAATTTAGAAATTTAGAGGAAAAGATACTCAGGAGTGAACAAATTCAATCTAAAACGATGCACCTACCGGGTCTCCGCTTGATCTTCGTCGAATTCCAACACTGTCAAATAGGGTTCTTTTACCTGTAAAATGGGACCTCGGTTTTTCGCACCATCCGAACAAAATGTGTAAATAAAAAGGAAAGAAACAACCTCGAATAAAATATCTATTTTAATAATAAACTGTTGGTTTGTTGAAAAGCATACTGTTTATAAAATTATACAGTTACAGACAGACAATGACAAAAGTTACGAAATTTGATCAATTAATTATTGACTGCTAAAAAACAGTGTTCCATATAAAAAGATGCGACCCATCAACAGCAAACCTAACCGAAGCGGAAACAGGGTCAAACCTCAGCCGTTTGGAAATGTACGGTCAGATCTCAATATTAAGGCCCCGCCTGCAGATTTGGTCCAGGTCGCGAGATGTAAATAGGGATAGGGCACGTGATTGTGGCCTAACGGAAATGTACTTAACGCTGTACGCTATCTTGGTTTTTGTGGGAGGATACGAAGAATAAATCTTTGACACTCATTTTTATTTTTAAAAAAATAAACAGCAATAAAACAAATACGACCTAAGAAAGACAACCCGGACCATTGTATATAATAGTAATAAAGAGGAAATTATAACAACGCTTTGTCATATAGTTGTCAAATTTATGACGCCCTTACAGGGGTGTATTATTGATGGGGGGATACCGTGTTAAAAGACGTACGAAGCAGGTATAATTAACGTCTACGGCCTCAGGCTATTTATAACCACGAGTAGAGATATTTTAACTTAAGATTCGTAACACAAGGATTTATAAGGTAGGTCAAAGTTCTTATTAAGTATTGTAATATCCTAGTAGAACTGCTACAAATTGTATATATTTGTAATTTATATATTTCGATTTCAACTGAAACAAACGACACAGTAGATTACCGATAAAAACAATGTAATCGTCCATGTGTGTTCCTTGTTTAACGGAATAATAATGTTTGCGTTTACATTATACAGCACAATACATGAAAAGGGAATCCCCCCTCCCCTTTTTCTCTTTTTACATCCCTGAAATAATACCAATATCATTTACTTCCGGAGGTCAAATATCCAGTCACGAAACCATTTTTTGTTTTGCTTTTGTTATTTCATATTTCAAAGTTTAATAAATCTGGCTATGACTGTTCATCCAGATTAGTATTATACAGGTCCGTTGGGACGAAATATTCATACTGCACGGTGGGGTTGCTGTCAGAGTAGCGAAGCACATATTTACGAATTACTGACCCTGAGACCAACCCCACCCGGTTCCGACGACGCTAATGTATACCGGAACATCAACATCCCCATTTTGTATATATATAGCAAGAGAGAGAGAGAGATAGAGAGAGGGAGAGAGAGAGAGAGAGAGAGAGAGAGTCTCTACGGATGTCATAGCAATGCCTATAGTACTTTGAGGAGCTTGAAGGGTATTCTTATTCACAAAATATTTTAAATATATACAGCATTTTTTTTCTCTTATATCTCTACTGGAATTTTTAACATTGGCCAATTAAAGGTAGTGCGGAATACTAAAACATGTTATTTTAAAGGAACGGGTCATTCTTGCATCAGGGCAATATAAACTGCTGACTTGGGTTGAGCAGATAGTGAAATACATATGTATATTTTAGTAACATGGATATAAGAATTCTATTAGAATGTAAATGGCACACTCGAAGTTGTAGCGCCAACAGTCTCAAGCTGGCCGTGTTAAAAACGCCTCAAGTACTTGACAGATAATTTAACTTTCACCAATGATGTTCATAAATACTTTACTAGACCTAGTCAGTTGTCAATAAAAGTAACCAATTTTGGAACTCTGGGGAAAAACACAAACTTTTCACTATTCTGGTCTGAAGCTTTGGAACAGTTTACCTTATACTATGAAATGTATTGACCAAATAGTTAATTATAAAAAAGCAATAAGAGATCTTTTATTGTCATTGTTTTTCAGTATATTAATGTCTGCTGTTGGTCATGTGGTCATGACATGTTCAAGGACCATCACGGATGGTGCATTTTGATGCCGTCCTTAATTCGTCATGACCAGATGTAACAATGGAATGTGTAATGTTATGTAAATAAGATATTTTATTTATTTTATAATATTTTGTTTATTTTATTTTATTTTATTTTGTTTGTTTATTTGTTTGTTTGTTTTGTTTTGTTTATTTATTCATTCATTTATTTATTAAATGTGTAAGTTATTGCAATCTAAATATGTTATATTTATAGCACGGCTTTCATGGGTTAACAGGTTTAAACATCGAGGCCGTAGGCCAAACCTGTTACCGAATTTAGCATGCTATAAATGACTTGTAACATTGACACCTGCTCAACATCCTTGTTGTTATTGTACAGAAAACCCACCGCACTTCTCTATATGATTTCTACTAAAATTAGTGTAAACCAGCAAAAGAGTGCAATAGCATTGAACATGTCTAGTTATTGCACGGTTAAGCTCCTCCCAATCTACTAGAGGAGAAACAATCTGCTTATTCAACGAAAAGAACAAAGGAAGTTTTCCAGTCCATGTTACAATTATAAATATTGCTGTAAGTGATGTTATTGTTTGCAATGCATATTTATATTATGAGTTATCTATTTAAGGTGAATCAATAAAAATCTTATCTCGTCTTATCTTATGTAAGAATTAGATAAAGAGCTGGTCGTTCTTGGTATAATAGAGATGAACAATGAATGTATTGAAAATTTCATTTAAATTATATTACTAAGTGTTGAACTTTTGACAAAATGTAGAGAATAGCGGAGTCTCGATTATCGTTAAACTCTTAAATGGCCGATGCAGTCTAATCTACTTAAAATCGAAGCTATCCGATGGCCCCAGAGAGTTGATTATGTGAATAAATGTTCAGATAATAATTTATATAACATTTCAACCACAATAGGCTTGATCTTATTCAAGTTCAAACTCAACTTGCTCTTGCACAACACATGCGACATCTTTACATTCGCTACATGAGTGCCAAATCCATTGTTTTAGGCTCTGATTTTTGTTCTTCGCAGTTCTCTATCAGCCACCAGACAAACAGAACAGGGCCCTTGTCTACCCACAGCTTTAATTTCTTAATTTGTGGATTGTTTGCAGACAAAGATATAAGCGGAAGTTCGAATCCCTTTGAATCTTTTTTAAAGGGAAACCTTTGCAATTTCCAAACAATCTAGATGTTGTGTCACATCCACCTATGGCATGTACAAATGGAATGTATCGTTTGATCCAGATCTCCCCACCCAAGTATTCTAGGAACACTGGGTTTTTTAAATGAAATATGCACAACCTGTTTTAGGCCTGACAAACATACAAAATTTGATAAAAAAAAAAAAGAGTCCCAGATCATTTGGGTGAAGAGGTCAAACGACACCTTTAGTTTGTGCTTGCCATAGCTGGGTGTTACACAACATCCGGATTGTTTAAAAAACATTCTGGAGGATTCAAACCAAGCTAAGATAAAGGGGGATATAGAGAGTTGCGAAAGACTAATTACGAAAACAACCGGTCAGGTTCCTAATTTGTTCATAGTAAATGTTACCCAAACTATCAATAATAAAAATACATTAAGTATTACAAAATAATATTTAATATGCTAATCGTTTATGAAATAAGGGGGGTTGGATGGCCGAATGGTTAGAAAGTGCGCGTTGTATCATAAGGTCTGTCATTCAGTCAACTGGCGTGGTTTCGTTTCCCCGTTTGTAGGTGACAATGAGTAGAGCCGCCTGTCCAACCTCGTGGGTTTTCTCCGGGCCCTTCGGTTTCCTGTTAAAGACCCTTACGCGCAAGCGAATTATTGAAATAAAATTGAACCATGTGTTAGTCCCGAAATGACATAGTTTGTGTCGAGTGGACGTTAAACCACCCCCCCCCCCTTCTCGCTCGTTATGAAATAAAGTTACAATGAAATTAAACAATAATCATAAGAAAACGAGAACAACTGGTTAGGTTTCTAATATGTTTATAATAATGTAACTGAAGAACTGAATGTTTCTTGGTGTGGGTTTGTATATCTATGTTGATAATAAAGTCATATTTCTTATCGTTTTGGTGAATATACAATTATATAACATATACTCATCCCATATAATAGCATCCGTTTTATCTTCTTTGTGAATATACAATTATATAACATATGTAATGAGGGAGATCCGACCTGTTCTCAATCGTAGCCCACTCTTAATTATTAACAATTAAACTATGAAACATTGCTTTGAGGGCCAAAACAATAGTTGTTTTGTAAAGAGTTTGGTCAATGACCAGTTGTTAACCCCGCTATTGTTGGACGTCAATGCATCTATGTAGTCTAGATTATATCTGACGTAATAGCATTGGTTGGATTAATAATTCTCTCTCAGATAAGAAAGTTCTCTAGCCGGTTTATGCTCAGGACCTCGACATTGTTTTTATAGGCCATAACAGATTCAAAATGTGTCGAAGTAATTGAAATGAAAGGATAAGCACACATAAAATTCAACAATGATTAGCTTTAAAGTATCTTTAATCTAAGTGGGCAAAGGATGCTCCCTACTGCTTTGATACACAAATCTATCGCATGCCAAATACCAGGAGCCTATCTGTTAGTAGGAATGATTTAGGGTTGTATCTGAGAATCGGCCATGTTGATATTTGTATGGAAAGATTCGGAAATGCATTTTCAATTTATAATAAGGATCCAATTCGGTGAATTTTGTTCATGTTTCAATCAAGTGATAGGAACTCATTTAAGGACTGCCCTGCAATCTAATGCGCATGTGATTAATTACATTCAATTTCTATCAGTTAACTTCTTCTAAGGAGTCAGTCTTTGATAATTTTATGATGACATCATCATTTAACTTCAAAATAAGAAGTGATAAGGTATAACATAACTTCGTGTTTACAGAAGTAGAACACGATCTGGAATCAACATTAATTCATTCTAGCATATATACAACAGAATTAAAATACTAGAAATAGAGAGACCCTTCTCTGGTGAGCTTCCAAGCTCAACTGATTTGTATCAAAAACCTCAGCTAATTTATAGTAAATTCGTATAAAGTTAATTAAGTATACGTAAATGAAATGAAATGGAATGGGGTTTAACGTCCTACTGTTCTGCCCCTAAACTGGGCTAATGAAGACGGGCATACGCCATACAGTGTGCTATGGGGAAATTTAGCCCGGACAGCGGCGCTAAGGCCTACTCTTATATCGAATTCCAACTGCCAAGGGTTCCAAAACAAAACTGACACAGTTATATGGGACAACAATCACTGGTTTATTATACACAAGCACAACGTTTCGATAAGTATTCTCTTATCGTTATCAAGCACAATGACATTTAGTAAACTTGAGGGTCTATATATATGTACAATGTGAAACCATTCTTATTACTAATCATTAGAAGAGTTCGAAATTGTGCTTGTGTATAATAAACCAGTGATTGTTGTCCCATATAACTGTGTCAGTTTTGTTATGTTTCCAATTGCTAAATGCCATCAAAGGATTATATGCCAAGGGTTCTTTTACGTGCACGCCAATATGTACGCGGGACCTCGCTTTTTCGTTCCATCCGAACGACTAGACAGCTGTCCTTGTCAGGCTTAAGTATACGTTTACATATATTATTGATAGTGAATAAAAGAACTACACAATGAATCAGCTGTCATTGATAGATTCTCTCACTATAATCATATTGATTTTGGTGACAGTTGAACACTGGTAATTGTAATTGGCGGTTAGCGGATTCTCTAACTTTACCATTTCTATATGACAGCAGTTTGACCATTGTGAAATGCAAAACAATTTTGTTGTTACACATGCTACTGTCTCTCACACTATGTAACATAGGTCATTTTATGATATTTCTTACTAAATATTCTGACTAGCAGGGGTCATGTTTATATCCGTTTGTAATACTTGTAAATTTCCAGGCCGAAAAATCAATTATAAAGTAATTATGAGGCGCAATAGTGGTGGTCATTTTAAATTTATGGAAATTAAGCCGTTTCACCGGTCCGAAAATCAGCAAGTAAGTTTATTGCATAAAAACGCTCACGGAGAGCAGCATACAATTACAAAATGAAAGAAAAATCACATTAGAACAAACATATACTAAGCAACAAAAGAGACGGCAGGTTGGTATGTTACTCTAAATAGACGCATTTCGTAAAACTTTACAAATGTTTTAATTGTTTATTTGTGATCAATTTCCAACTTTACCTGCGCAATAGGGCTCCTTCCCAAACACAGAATTGAACTCAGGAAATGTTCTCAAAAACGCAACCTGACTTTTGAGATGGTAATGTGTTCTCCATGATTTTAATGTAACTCATGATGCACGTGCTGTTTACCGGGACCAGCCCTATAAAATGCACCCCTTTACCTGGTTGAATCATTCACACTACAACGTCAGCAGCATGCCAGGCGCTTGGAAGACTCGACTCTGGCCACACTGCCTAAGCCGTTGCCAATCACTTCCAAGTCAATGTCCAGACCATCTACAGGTTTCAGCTTTCGGGCCACCAACACCACGGATAATCGCCCCCGAAGACCACCATGTTGTGCGACAGCACGTGCAGAATCCCTTCACACAGGCATCTAAGACAGCACGTCAGACATTGGGAACGCCGGAATTACCCGCCAACGTTATGCACTGGCCAGCCCTTAGTCCGGACATAAACCCGATTGAACATCTTTAGGATGAAATTCAGAGGAGACTTAATAACGTCGTACCGACAGCAAACACATCTGATGGATTGCGCCAGGCTTTTCTAAGAGTGTGGTTCCAGGTGCCAATGACTCTAAACCTTCTTGTTATATCTTGGAATTGTGATGCATTAATTACTAATGTGTCAACATACTGTTTAAAAAATTGCTTTGATCCATTTAGTAAGTCGTTTTCTAGAATGATTTGATTAAAGTACCTCTCTAATTTTGAAATAGTACTGACGACGTTTTTTTGTTGGTTTTTTTTTTGCTGTTTAGTATACATAAATAGATCGATGTAGGCCATTTTGTTGGAGAGAATTGATCAGAGAACTTTGTCTATGTTGTAGATAATGACCCCACGAACACAACGATACCCAGAAAATATGGATGTTTTTTTTTATTGTCGACGTACAACAATCCTCTGCCGAGTGCTGTGAGTCACACGACGCTAAAAATAGATTTATTTGTTGCTTTTGATCTAATATCCATTACAATTCCTGTAATAGCTTCAGGTAGTCATTTTAGATTAATTTTCTGGGGCATATCATGTGTTTCTTCAACTATTATAGATCTTATTGACTAATAACAAAATAGATAAATTTGAAACTTTTAAATGAAATGAAAAAGGGTTTAACGTTCTACTGTTGTGCTCCGACTTGGCTAATGAAGACGGGCATACGCCATACAGTGTGTTATGAGGGACACTTTGCCCACTCTTATATTGAATTTCAACTGTCAAGGGGTCTTTTATGTGCACGTCAATGTGTACACGGAACCTCGGTTTTCGTCCCACCCGAATGACTATGAAACCTTTCAATATAGGTCACGGCAAAGGGATGTTAGAAGTCGGGAAGTACGCACCCCCTTACCGTATTTGTGAAATATCCTTTATTTGATCTGAAGTTTAAAACTTCTAAGCCAACCTATGCCGAGAAATCTACAGGCGGCAATAATTACATCTATAAAGGTAAAATGTACCTCAGAACGCAACATGCGCCATGCATGATTTCAAAATCTAAAATTCTGGGTGCCATTTTTGACGTGATGTGTCTACGAGAGTTGTCTGAAAAGTTTTAAGCCTATCTGTCAAGGACCCGTACAAAGTGAATGGTTTACATCTATTTTTCTACATAGTTCCCTTCGAGGTCTAGCCACATTTGCCAAAACGATGTTGCAAGGCCTAGATGTCAGTCCGGAAGAAATTTTCTTCAGCACCCTAAAAAATCGTTCACAACTGACATGGTATCACCATTACTATTGGAAAATGACGACTGGTTAGTTCCTTTTGGAAACCGATCTCATCCATGGTTACAAATCTGGTCAACATATCACCAGGATCTGCTTTAAAACGGCGCAGATTGTGACTAGATGTCAGGAATCTGACATGTTTCTGATCCGCAGTCAAGAGCTTTGGAACCCATCTTGCACAGACTTTTGTCGTTGGCAATAACGTGTTCACCCCTCTCATAAGAGAGGGAGCGAATGGGAGCGAACGTCACGTAACCTATAATTACAGTGATTATATGACAGCTTGCTCGTGGTGTTGTTAAACTATTACTTACACCTTGCTTCATGACATAATATATATTTCTAATTAATTTTGTCAAGGATCACCTTTACGTTGCAAATTAGGGAATTTGAATTACAAATATCGGATTAATACTAATGACATCTCGGGTGAAAGCATGTTATATCATTGAATTATACAAATATAACAGCTTATTTATCTATTATAATACCACTGAAACATGAATATTATGTAATATCGATAACAGAGAGAGAAAGAGAGAGAGAGAGAGAGAGAGGTGGGAGGAGTGAGGCAGAGCGGGGTAACTAAATGAAATGAAATGAAATGAAATGGGGTTTAGCGTCCTACTGTGGGCGGGGTAACTTCCACTGGACAAAACATTCAGGGCTAACTTAATGTTCAATTTTTTCAATAATTCGCATGCGCTTAGGAATCTTTAGTCGCGGTAGGAACATCGGGTGACCCAGAGATACCCACGAGGTTAGACAGGTGACCCCACTCTCTGTCGATCACGCACAACCTTGAGCTCAAATCCACGCCACTGACAAACTTTATAATCTAAAGCACGGGCATTAGACCACTAGAGTCTCACCCCTTTGTCATTATTTCAACAATAAAAAAATATATTCAAATAAAATAGAATAATAAAGAGCTCAATATTTCCGAATAAATAGCTAATAAATTAATAAATCATAAAATGTTTATTGGAACTGTACTACTTTAATTTATTATTTAATTATTTTTTTTTCATAAAAAATTATACACCCACAACAGATGAACCTGAAGATTTATCGAAGTATTATCTTGCTGAAAATTCTAGGTGTTCATGTTCTTAGTATTTTAGGTAAGTTTCAGACTGTTATGTTATGTAATAATGTATTTATATAATGCCCAGGGTCATCCATAGTATGGCGTATCGACGCCCAAAACATTAAAAGACAAACAGGGCGACAATATTAAACTACACACCACACAGTCAGAAAGGCATTCGATGCTGGCCATCACACCAGCAGATCCAAAGCTTTCAATAAGAAAGACACCCATTGTGACAAATGGAAACTTCTCATTTGGGGGACGACCGAAGAGTACCAAAGCAAATCGACCATTAGCCCCTGTCGACTGATTACATAAGGCGCCTTAACAGAATAATTCTACAGAGTCTATTATCCAAGATAACACGGAGCCGCGTTGGCTAAACCAGAGATCTAGGGTTCGCTCCCGGTGTGGTTTCCTATTGTCAGTGGTGCAGGACGGGTGACCTGACAAAGACAGCTGTCTAGTCGTTCGGATGGTACAAAAACGAGGTTCTGTATACACATTGGCGTGCAATTAAAAGAACCTTGACATTTGGAATTTGATAGAAGAATAGGTCGTGGCGTCGCTACTCTGGCAAAATATCGATCATATTGCATTGCGTATGCCCGTCTTCATTAGCCCAGTTGGTGTAGAAAAGTAGGATGTGAAACCCCATTTCATTTCATTTCTAAGATAAGATAAATAATCAAATGTATTGGTTAACGCGGTGGAATGGAGTGTTTCAAATGGTGCGTAAAACTCCTTTATTTGTAAATTGTATATAAATACGGTGCATTATAGTAAAGACCACTATAATATAACCTCTTACTATATGCTACAAATGCTACAATTAATAATATCTATGTTTTTATTTTAGGTCAGAACAATCTTCACAGTCATGGTACGATCAGGCATTCTCACACTGACACAACATTTCACACGCATCCTAATATGCCCCCTGGTACAGGTTCACGACCAGGTAACGTAACTTTAATCATTACTATCATCATGAACAATCTCCAATGTCGGGGGTTGGGTGGCCGAATGTGTGCACTGTATATCTTAAGATCTGTCATCGAGTCCAGTGGCGTGGTTTCGATTCCACACTTGAACATGACAAGGAGTATAATCGTCCAACCTTTCCACTGCTAAAGACCCCCATGCGCAAGCGTATTAGTGAAATAAAATTGAACCACATGTCAGTCCCTACGTCCCTTACCGTTAGCTGTTCCACTTGGACTCTGAGTTGAGGGAGTGTGATTGGCTAAAATTGTTATTGTCAAATGAAAAACATATTTTCATTGGTTACATGAGGTATCAAGACAGCTCAGCTGAACACAAATTTCTTGAAGACGTTGTTAGACCTTACCTTGGTGTTAATATAAACGACATGGTACCGAAGATACTGGGGTTGAGATGGCCTAGTGGTCTAGAGTGCCGGGCTTCGACCTTTAGCTGGCCGGTCACCTCTGGCTTGCGACTGTGGTATCGATCCCTGGTGTGAGCGTATGTGGCTTGGAGATAGGGGCGCCTTCTCAACCTTGTGGGTTTACTCCGGGTACTCCGATTTCCTCCCACAGGAAAGACCCCTATACAAATAATACAAATGAAAAATAAGACTTGTCTGCGATCTCACCTTCGATGGACGCGGACGTTAAACACTAATAACAACAATAACAAGCACTGTCTAATTATAATCTTGAGTTTAAAGTGATATCGCCAACAACGCTGCCATTTTAGAGTAGTTTAACCTATCGGATCATTGATGCGCTAATGATAAAATATAAAAAAGTACAACAACAATTTGTTAGCTTTACGTAATGGGTGGCATCTGTGCAAATCTGTCCAACCTCGTGGGTTTTCTCCGGGTCCTCCGGTTTCCTCCCACTGCTAAAGACCCCTACGCGCAAGCGAATTATTCAAATAAAATTAAACCATGTGTTAGTCCCGAAATGACCTAGTTTGTGTCGAGTGGACGTTAAACCCCATTTCTCGCTCCCTCTCTCTGTGCAAATCTGTTACTTTTTTTAGAAACATCGCGGTGTTCCGTCGTGGAAATGTAACTAATACTCATAATTTGGTTGTCTAAGGTGTTGTCATTCTTACATGTAAAGTCAGCTTATTGCAAGCATCTCGAAAGGTTTAAGTCCACTAAACTACCTGTTTCTTTCAGTACCGGGTAGACCCCATCTTCATCGACATGGTACTATAATTCATTCACATCATCCTGGGACTATACATAATCACCATAATCTACCAGAAGGCTCCAAACCAGGTGATTTTATTTTTTGTAAATAGTAATTATATATGATCAAAATCATCACAACACAGAGACTAAGTCTTTTATCTATAACTTACATAAATGAAATATTGACACCCTATACAAAAACAACAAAACCACGATTAAGCCTATTCATAGGCATAGGGGACAAGTTTCAGTTGGGGGCTGAGGCTATTTGACCGAAAATTTTCTTTGTCACCCGAATTTTAAGAATGAATCAATCATTAACTAAAACGAATTCTCCACAAAGCTATGATGGTTATTTATTTTTAATTAATTACACAATTACACAACAATATAAATTCACAATATGTTAAGCAAAAAACAACTTAATGTTCCCCATTTCCTTATGTTTGTGCCAGAAAACGGAAATACCTTGCCCAAAAATTGAACTGCTCACCGGTTCTGGGGCGTTGCAACCCCACCCACACAGACTCCTACGCCTATGATCCTTTTTAAAAATGCCTATATAGCGTCAACAAGAGAAGTCCAAACAATTATCAACAAGAGAAGTCCTAACAATTATCAACAAGACCTAACAATAAATATTATCAATAAGAAACGTCCTAACAATTACCAATAAGAGACGTCCTAATAATAATTATTATCAACAAGAGACGTCCTAATAACTACCAATAAGAGAAGTCCTAAGAATTAGACTTTAAATAAAATATTTCCAAAATTCTATAGAAAAGACATATTTGCAGCCACAGCTAGGATTTTACCGTTAAATATTTTAACTTAATGAACACTACTCTTGATTTTCTTTCAGTTCCCAATGAACCTCTTCTAGAAGCACCTGGTTCTGTAAAAGCAATAGGTATGCTACTGTCGTTCTTCTTCGTCTAACAATTAGGCTATAATCTGCTCTCCTTTTTATGGAGTCGTAAGAATTTACATAAATTGAACATACATTATGCAAGAGCTAATCTGCCTACTGTTTATATAAACAATTAATTAGACATTTATTAAAATGAAAAGATCTTAATCAACTCTTGATGTCATCTTATGTGTTGGATTTTCACTGGATTTCAATCCGATCTGCTGCTCAACGCTCATTGATGATTAAATCCAAAAATTGATAATTGTGACTATGTTTTTTTTTATCGTACCGACTTTAATAATGATGATCAAGGCTAGCCTAAAATTCTATCGCTAATATCTTAGTTCAGAGTGCAGCAATTTAACTGAAATTTTCAGCATATTCGGTTCATTATATATTTTTTAACTATTATAGTGAGAACTGCCAGCTCTTTATGTAATACTATATGCATAGATCGTAATCACATTTTGAAAGTCTAGAGGGGTGTTTAAAACTTGAATTTTGTAAATGAATGTAATGTACTGTTCTGTTCATGTAATGTGTACATGTGTTTAATCGGGTAAGGTTAAGGTATGGGACCTGTGTAAAATCGCGGTAAATGCGTTTAGATTCAGGCCAAAGGCTTGCCCCAGGTAAATTTAAAACTGAATGGCCCTTTTGTAAATTCACGAGTTGCGTGTGGGTCGGTATTAGCTTCTAAATAAACGGTTTAAAATGAAACAGTGCGCCTTGCAATATAGCGAGTAGCTTATGCAATACAACTGTTTCCGGATTATTCATGTTGTAAACAGGAGATAATAAGTTCAACGTATGTGTTAAAAGTGGGAAAACATACCATGGTAAAATGGGTAATTTAAATTTGGATTCGAATGTGCGGTTAGCTGTCGAATAGATTTTGAATTCCCCGATATGTCATGCGTAGTGTATACTAAACCATACTAATGTCAACGAACACGTCAAGAACATATCTGTAATTTGTTATCTGTTATATGTGTTAAACATGAGGAATATATTAACTTACTGGTTGTGGTTGATTTGTTATTACAACCAGGAGTAGAGTACAATCAGGTCTTGAAATAAATATGGATCACATTTTTAAAAGCAATGAATTCACGGGGAAAACACATTTAAGGTGATTATTGGGAGTAACTATATGAAAATTAGAAAAGGGGTGTACCTGTCTAATTTGATTTATTAACGTTATGAGAACCTATCGTGGGTCGTAGAATATCTTACACGTATATACACAATGGTAAACGGCAGTGTTTATAGCGCAGGTGGAATGTCTTAAACAATAACCAGATACGGTTAGCATAATTAATTGAAGATGATTTGTTAATGAGATGAAACTGTTCACTGTTAACAGGTTATTCTAATAGGTAGAAAACGTTAGTAAAGTAATAATAATAATAATAATAATAATGTACATTTGTAGAGCGCCAAATCCATCCAAAAGCATGCTCAAAGCGCAATGAGACAATAGTTATATACACTCTGAATAGAAAGTCTAATTCTCGTAGCATTCTCGAAATAAGTGAGTCTTCAGCTGTGATTTGAAAGTAGTCAGAGTTTCACTGTTTCGGATTTTCGGTGGTAAATCATTCCACAATTTAGGAGCAACTACACTAAAACTTCTGTCACTAAAATGTTTCAGTTTTGAGTGTGGAACGACAAGAGTGTTCTGGTAATAAGATCTCAAGAACCGATTTGGTTGATACACTGTTAGTAGTTCTGATAAATAGCTGGATGCAAGATTTCGTAGACATTGATATGTGAGGCACAGAACCTTAAAGTTGATGCGAGCTGGAATTGGGAGCCAAAGTAATGAGTTTTTAATTACTGTAGGTGATAAGTACTAATTAATACTGGTATTTTTTATTAATGGGACAGATTAAGTTCTATTGTTAATAAAATAAAACCACCAAGTACGAACAATCCAAACCATTAGACAAAATTCGAAGTTCTAAAAAAACGGTATAGGCAAAATGGTGTAATCAGCAAATGGACTGTTCACCGTGTACAAAATACACGACAAACAGTGGCCCGGAAGAGTAAGCTTACCCTGCCTGGCGCCACACCCGCCATAGGTACATCCAAGTCATAAGACGAAATCTCGGCAAAATAGCGTCATTGGCCAATGGACTATCCATATGCAAAATGCACGTGATGAACAGCAAATGGAATTAAGGATTAGTATAGGTTTAATCCCAATGAAGTAAATACAATTTTAATTTTAAATAAACTTAAGTGTAAAAATATGATTAAGATATAATCACATCCAATTAAAATAAATGTTATAAATTAAGGGTAATGTAATTGTAATTGGTCTAATTGAACAAGTACACTGGTCATTTATGGGATTTATTGTACCCTATCTTAACGCACAGCAACGCTGAACCAGACAGAGGAATTCAGGCATACAAGAAGATATGGTTCTGGAGCGGAGTTTGAAGAAGTGTTTACTTAACGGATCACCAAATTTACAGTGCACGAAACATAACAATTCTGAATAGAACAATGAAATTTATTTAGTGTTAGAAACTTGACGTTATTGACAGTGAATCACTGAACTGATATCATTGTAGCATGTTTATCAGTGTAATGATATTAATTTAGAAGTAGGACTTGAGATATTTAAAGAACACGCTAGAAGTGTTTAGTTACTATTAGTGATTATTTTAAAGATTGTTAGCGACATGAAATGGCAATTTTAAAATGTCATTCCGAAAGTATTGATATTGATATTGTATTGTATTTATCGCATGTGACAAAGTAGGCGTTATTAAAGCAACAGTTCTTATTTAACGCATTGAAAAGGGACTTGTTGTTAATACTATATGGGTTATTTTAGTTCTAAGAAAGGTGTTCTGTTTAATATAGAATAATTCGTTACCGACATGATGTGTGACGAAAACTGGGGTAATAAAGAAGTAGCTTGCATTATTCTACTACTATCTTAGACTAACTCACCGACAGCTATGCCAGTATCCATTGCTGGAAGTGGGGTACTATAGTACAGTCATCTCGTGCACGGATTAGTACAATTAACTAGAATAGTGTTGACGTAAAACGGTACCTATACGAAACACTTACCCAAAAATGCAATTGTCCCGCCCTAATAGATGACGCATTTTACTTTCTACATAGGTGAGAGCTGGTTTGATTTACACTCAGACCATCATTCAGAGCTCAGGGGAACATTACACCCATAGTCTCCTCGGCTTGGAAGCTGGGGTGAACATATCATCCTAGCGCGAGCGTTATGTAGAACTATCTAGAAGTATGTGGCTCTTGCCACGTTTAAGCCATTAGGTCTGAGTTAGAAAGGATATTAAACTCAGACCATGGATATTTTAATAACTCGAAAATTACTATCATAGATATTGTAGTTTCCTGTATCTAACCTTTGTAGTTTGCTGTATTTGATATATAAACATAGTAACAACGTAAACAGTGTTTCAGACTTAATTGATCATTGGAAATAGTTATCACAACGTGAAGTCGAAGAAAGTCCTAGACGATAGTGTCACCCTAGTATCACGTGCCGTATCACAAAGTAGCAGTAATTCATAATTTAACTATTTAACAACACACCGTAGTGTCACAGTTTAGTCTTTTTGGTACCGTGACACAGGGTAGTGTTACATATATCTAATCTTCCATAATGTATCGTTAAATAACTAGAGTTTAAATTTGACTCTCTTAACGTGTATATGAAAATAGGCAAAATAACTGGTTGCTCTTTTTTTAATTTTAGGTGGGACAGTTCTAGATACTAACCCGTACATGAAAATAGCCGTACAAAAAAAACCCAAAACCCCCCCAAAAAAACCAAACAAACAGAACATTGATTATTTTTAAATTCTTGTTGTAACAGGTGCCGATCCTCATGGCCATGGATCTGTGACACATTCACATACAAGTCAATCATCACTACATTCGCATCCAGATCCTTCTCAAGTTCCCGGTCCAGGTAAGCCACAACTTAAAAAAGCCCCCCCCCCCCTCTGCCTTTCTATGCTTGTCAAGCATCCGTTCACGGTTAACTAGAAGTACCTCCCTGCGGCCCTTCTCTGACTTCCGTCAAGTACCCCTGGACCACCCGCCCCAAGCCAGAACTGAATTAATACAAACTGTTTGACCATATGGATTTAAATAGTTTTAACAATGAAACAACATTGTTTTCCTGTGTCCAGTGATCCTATTCTACAAACAGCTGGTTCTGTTAAACAAATAGATAGGCAACTGTCTTTTTTCCAAATTGAGGATTCACATCAATTAAATATCCATCGTAACGAATGTATGAAAAAGTCAGACAGCTGATTGTTTTTCTTTCTTAATTTTTTGCATTTTAGTTGTGGCAGGTCTCGATCCTCATGGTCAGGGTTCCGGAACACATTCACATACTGGTCAACCATTACCACATTCTCATCCAGATCCTTCTCAAGCTTCCGGTCCAGGTAAACATTCGAGTAGCTCTAACCAATGTCTACATTTTATTTATGTATAATACTGCTCTGTATAATAATGATTTAATTTACTAATTGGTTATATATTCATTAACAATTCAAAATACCCTTATTAACAGATCACTTGATGATCGAGAATACCCTTATTAACAGATCACTTGATGATCGAGAATCAAAGCGCTTACCTACCTGAAGCAAACCATTTTGCACGAGCACCCTATGAACTAGATGAAAACCACCATTGAGTGTAATCTATATTATCTTATCAACGGCTGGACAACATTTAGCAAATACTCTAATGTGAACATAGCCGAATCGCTTAATCAGAAAAAAAAAATATTTCGACCGGCATATATGTGACTCCGGTATTTATATATAGTCTCTAATCTTTATATTATCAATTAACCACTAATAATATTCATATGACTTACTCGTCCATTTATGATGAAACACTGTTCGGATGACGTATCCACCCATTTCTGATGAGCCAATTTTCTCAAATATATTCAAAACCGCAACTGTCTCTTTTGGTCAGCCACATTAACCACCAACTGTTGAAATACCACTGAAGTGAAAATGAGTTTCTAAACATATTAGACAAAATTGAGTTTATAAGAGTAAGATTGCAAATAAAAACACCAAAGATGGTGATATCCCAAAATTAGATATTTCAGAACCTATAAGAAAATGTAGTCAATGTTTTCTAGGGATAATTATTAAGGTATGTTATATTTACTCCCTAAATTATTTAAATGGAATAAAATGGCGAATAGAGCATTCCTAATGGACCGAATAGTTACGTAATACAATACAACTATTATTATTATTATTATTATTAGAATATCAGCTACACAATCTGAAGAAACCATGTTGGATTTGAAACAGTAGAATGTGTGGATGTTTGATTATCACTATTTTGGAGTAACAGCATTTCAGAAAAAAAAAACGTTTCGTTCGTTTTCGTGCTAAGCAATATTTAACTTTATGTGACAACGACACTGCTCCATACTGAACCTGGTTAACCGTTTCGTTCGTGTTCGTGCTAAGCACTATTTTGCTTTATTTGACAACGACACTGCTCCATAGTGAACCTGGTTTATGGACATACTGAATTGAAAGTCCTCCCACTTGCCCCATTTCAATCTTCTTTCGGCGCTGATCTATTTAACTGTGCATTGCTGAAAATTAATCTTCTGCTTTAATGATAGCGTGGGATGTAATTGTCGTAACCCTTAATTGAAATTAAAATGTCGCGTTACCATGACAATTATAAAGCTTTTCAGGAAATATGTAAAATAAAACGTTAATAGTATTTTTACGCTTAAAGCAAGAAAGTTAGGGTTAGTTGACAGGCCGAATGGTCTAATGCGTGCTCTTTAAGGTCTGTCATTGAGTCATGTGGTGTGGGTTCGATTCTCAGCTTGTACAATCTCATCGGTTTTCTCGCTGGGTCTTCCAATTTCGTCCCAGTGATACATAATTATTGAACCACATGTTAGTCCCGAAATGACACCCTCTCTCTCTCTCTCTCTCTCTCTCTCTTGTGAATTGACAGCATCGAGTAGCTTTGTATATAGTCCAGTACCACATCTATCCAAGTCATGGTTCACTCTCACATTCCAATTCCAGCAATTCCAGTCATTCCCATCAATCCTTTCCTCTAGATTCTCAACCAGGTGACACCTACAATGTAATCAGACCTCGCATACGTCCCTTTGATTAGAATTTGAGAGATCCCCCTCCCCCAGGACATAAATTATCAGCCATCATTTTAGTGATGTACAATATGTATACGTATCTATGTAGATTTTATGAATAATCAAAAAAGAATTCGGATTATAACAGTAATCATTTTAGTGTTGTGCTTAAGATGCATACATCAACAAGGCCTTAAGCGAAGTCTTTTGAAGTTACATAATGGTCACTTAGGAGTCACCTATACTGTGCATACTCACATCAGAATCCTTACTGATTTTAGCGATGTTCAAGATGTATACACTAATGAAGACTTTAAAACAGGGCCTTATAATGATCACGATGAAGTACGTATTCTCCGTTCTAATAGCAAATCTACCGGTCTACGTTATACTCTCACCTCTGTATTAACAAAATTAAGAAACAAATTACCCAAGTCGTAAAGATCTACCTTTATTTTCAGCTGCAGGAAGTCCAGATGTTCACAGCCATGGTTCTGTAACACATTCCCACTCTAGCATTTCAAGTCATTCTCATCAACCTCCTGGACCAGGTGACATAATCAGTATAATCAATACTCGTATACACCCCTCGTCCCACGCCCCCTCCTCTCTCCCTCTGATTTTGGGTTTTCCCAAAATAAAATCTAGGATCATTTGAAGTAATTTCATCTTTGCTTTCAAAGGACGATTCCTGTAGACTATCATATGATATATATGAACAACAGTTTCGGCATTGTATATATAATTTCACTCACTCTTGCATTGTGTCGTATAATGAGTGGCATTAAGTTTACTCCATACAGCGCTTCCATTTCAACCTTACATTATGCAAGAGCTAAGTCTGTCCATTGCAGGTCTTTCTTTGGGCCTGAAATGTTATATATTATAAACTAATGATTAGACATTTATTAACATGATAAGACCATAATCAACTAGCCTGCGATTGGATTACATTTTTGGAAAAATAATTAAACGTAAAATGGATAATTGAATTTTTTTATCGTACCGACTTTAGTAATGATGTTCGAAGCTAGCCTAAAATTCAAAAGCTAATATAGTGGAGAAATTTGACCGAAATTATCAGCATATTCTATTTACGTTATCTATTTTATTTTATTTTTTTTTATCGTACCGACTTTAATAATGATGATCGAAGCTAGCCTAAAATTCAAAAGCTAATATCTCGGTTCAGAGTGGATCAATTTGACTGAAATTTTCAGCATATTCTATTTACGTTCTCTTTGTTTTAACTATTATAGCGATAACTATCAACTCTTTATCAAATCCTTCATAATACCCCTTTAATTAAACATGTGTTTTTATTATGTAGGTGCAAGCGACGTGATGAGTCTAAATACTGGTGGTGCCCAACATGGAACTAATCCCAATCACCATAGTCACGGTTCTCTAACCCATTCCCATTCTGGTACATCTCTTCACCATCATCCAAATCTTCCTTCCAATTCAAATCGTGGTAACAGTTTATATCTTTATTTGTTTTAGAAATATCAGAGCTTGGTTTATTAAAGATCAATTAAATTTCGTTACACTGTTCCGTGACGGGGGGGGGGGGGCGAATGGTTAGCGCGTGCGCGCTGTATCATAAGGTCTGCCATTGAGTCAACTGGCGTGATTTCGATTCCCCGGTTGTACGTGGCAAGGAGTAAGGTAGCCTGTCCAACCTCGTGGGTCTTCTCCGGGTCCTCTGGTTTCCTCCCACTGCTTAAGACCCCTACGCGTAAGCGAATTATTGAAATAAAATTGAACTATATGTTAGTCCCGAAATTACTCTCTCTCTCTCTCTCTCTCATATGGTTTCGCGATTGATTAAAGCGTAGCTCAGAACCCGTCGTACGTGTTTTGACACGCGCGGGTCGAAGGATTTGGTAGCTAGCAGAACAATCGCAAGAAACCGGGTAAAAATTTTGTATGAGCAGGACCAAAAATCTCATCGGCCAGTCCGCGATCTTCTACGATGCCGAATACACGCAAGCGACGCGTAAGTCTCACGCATGGGTTTACTAAAATTGCCCCTGTAGACTGCCCGTAGTAACACTTACGGAGGTTTGTGAACCTGGGCCCTTATTCACGAAAACTTAAACTAAGTTACAACCGAAATTTTAAGAAATACTGCAACTTCATTGGATATATCAAATTGATTTTACTGGTCAGCCAATCGAATTGCAGTATTTCTCAAAATTTCAATTGTATCTTAGTTTAGGTTTTCGTGAATAAGGGCCCAGGCTTTAAATAAATGACTGTGACCAATAGTAAAGATAGCTCTGGCGTGTGTACTACTAGGGTTTATCCAGATACAAATATTGCCTGTTCACTAAATCACATATGATCTGCTGGCCATTTGTATTTTTAGTCGTTTGTTTTTTTAGAACGGTTGCACGGTGAACGGGAAATATTTGAAATGTTTTGAGGCCGATTAAGTTAATTTGAATACAAAGACAAAAGGAATTCGATAAATAGATAGACTTTTGTAATTTGAAGACCTCCTGAAAAGACCAAACGATGTATCGGAAATGGCGTGATTCCAAGAAAATGTGATCAGATATTGATATTCAACATATACCGGTAATAGACAGACAGTATATTTAATATTTCTTTATACGTTTAATGAGTTTTCATTTTGCTTTTATTATTATTTTAGTACCAGGAAGACGAGGTTTCCATAGGCAAGGTAATGTACGTCATTCACATTCTGGCTCTTCTGTTCACTCCCACCATAATCTGGCAGAGGTTTCTGACCTTGGTAACAATATTTATTATCGTCTATGTTTGATGCTAGAAATATAAGTTAATGCAAAATATCTCACTGAGCGATCTATTCAGCTTTTACATATTTTCCTTTCTGCATTCTAAATGTTATTTTAGTTAACTCTTAACTAGATATACCCTCCACAATCTCCGCAGTGGCGTAGTCGGGTGGTGCTTGCCTTCGTGTAATTATCGTACACAATGAGAAATGCAGTACGCGGGGGATTTTTTTGTGAGCTGTGTCCTGTCCACCATTCCAAAACTACTTGTGCTCAAATGCTGCTATTTCTCTAAACGTATACGAAAAAAAAATAATATCTTAGAATTTGGACAATTTAATAATTATGTCAATATTTCAACAGGATATATCAGTAGGTTTTTGGCAAATTTAACATTAGTGGGTACAACACTACAGGTCATTAAATAAACTCATATTATATCTGACATGGTATCAAAAATTAAACTGAAAGTATATGGCAGAATTATATTTCATTACTTAAGTAGACATCTTGAAACAAATTATGTTACATCTTATGTTTTTCTCTAGTGGACCAAGATATTAATTACAGATTGCTGCCACGCAGTTGCTTGGGAGTGTTTAAAGGAGCTAAATCGCTAATATTTGGGACCTAGAAATTGACCCAAATGGGTCGCAACGCATATAATAATGCAATCTGATTATATATGAACTGATTTACATTCAATTGTTTCCGTTTTGACTCTAGTTTCAAATCAGTTATGTCCAGCGAAATACGGCATGAGTCTCAACCGAATAGAAATTTCTGGCGTCTGGTTATTCCAGTCTATTGCGCATGCTCTCCAGATAAGTTAAGGCTTCGCCGTTTGACATGAGTTGTAGATTATGTCTAGCCTTGTTCTATCTGGTAACTTGTTACAAATGACGATGAAACGCACTATGGTACACGATTCGTGTACCAATGGTAAAATGTTTATTTTGTCTTAAATATTGGATATCAGAAGCCCACCTTTTCCCGGTAAGATAACAACATCAATGTTGATTTGAATTGACAAATAAGTTTGGATGATATTGATTTAGAGACTTAGCTACTTTAAGATAAGTATTTCAATTTGTTTATTTCAGTACCAAGTACTATATCACACACTGGATCCCAACCTGGTCTTCCTCGTGGGCTAATACCAGGTAAGAACCGATGATGTATCTGGAATTCATTTCATGATAATAATTCGATTATAATTTTTTCTAAAAAATTTCAAACTGAATCCAAGATATTATTAACATTTGACTAATACCCATGGACATTAAATATCTCTAAGGATTTAAATCCCAGTGTCCGTGTTTGCAAAGATCTCATAAGAATGTTAATTTATGATAGCATAGCGTAACTATATTTTCTTTTGCAACTCTACTTATAGTACGCCAAATAACGAACCAGAGACGTACTGGGGACCATTTAACGCCAAACGGTTCCAGGATACCACCCCGGACAGACATAGGGGGTGCAACTATTTCTTCAACACCAGACGCAAATAGACCCAGGAACCGCTTGGCTTTTAATAGGGACGCCGCACCACCACAAGTGAATCGATTCAGGGGTACGTTAACATCAGACAGTGTTAGGATGCCGCCCCAGACAAACAGAGGTGCTCCCGTTGCTCCACCGGCATCTGCAACAAACATATTTATGCAGCTTCCGCCTTATCTTAGAAATATATTTAAGAACCCACCAACGCCGAACATAGTCAGGACCCCATCTCAAGGAAACAGACTTAGAAGCCCTATACCAGTGAATGGCGCTCGAATGCAGACAAATATGGCCAATCAAGGCCGTCCATCGCAAACATTCCGAGACCCACAACCACCACCTTCACCACAAAGACGCCAACGGGTTCCAAACTATTCTCTGGCTGGAGGTGCCAGCTGTAACAGTCAATGTCATAGCGGTAGGGCAGCCCGTTCTTGTTTTTGTGCAAGATATCTGTGCCTTGTAAGTTTGAAGTTTAATTTTTAAGAAAAATAAATAATATTATATGTCTACATTTGGTGTGAAAATAAAAGAATAAAGATTTTCAACTATATGTTCGTGCATCTCAAACGTCATTACTTTTAACTTATTGGCGAGATTCACAAATCTAAAATACCAGGGACCACTGGCAAAAGTGATATCTCGTTCGAAAAATGCGCAACGCCTTTTTATGCAATCAGACACAGGTGCGACATTTAATTTAATACTTGTACACCTAATAATATACAATATAAAATATACTTGATTTATACACTTAATACTTGTACAATAATATACTTAATTAATATATTTAATTCATCAACTTAATACTTATAATAATACAATATCCTTAATACTTGTATAATATCAATATAAATTGTACTTAATTTATACAACTAATACTTATATACTTATGGTAATACAATATAAATTATAGTTAATTTATGTACTTAATAATTGTATACTAATAATTATACAATAGAAAATGTGTTGTTTCGTTTCAGTATCAAGGATGTTCAGCAAATTGTACATTATTAAGGGAAGGTGAATTTATACGAGCATCATGTAAACAGTTTGTAGGTGGGCCGTATCATATGCCCAAAACGACATCTAATGCTTTACCAAGTAAGAATCATTTGTTGGTTTTCACAGATTTAATAGACAATTAACAGAATGGCCTATTTCACACATATTGTTATAAAGATGTTTATTTGGTTTAGTCTGTAATATTACCTAGATACACTATAATGTACTCAAATTTAACGAAATGAAACGAAATGGGGTTTAACGTTCCACTGTTCTGCTCCTACTGGGCTAATGAAGGCGAGCATCCGTCATACAGTGTGCTGTGAGAGAAATTTTGCCCGGGCAGCGGCACTATGACCTACTCTTATATCGAATTCCATCTGCCAAGAGATCTTTTATGTGCACACTAATGTATAAGGGGGTCCTCGGTTTTTCGTACCATCCGAACCTCTGCACCACTGACAAGGAGAAACCACGCCGGAAAATCCCGATGAACTTCCTCGGCCAAATTACCCGCTTAGCCACCGTGGCTCCCTCAAATTTAACATTTAATCAAAGTATCAACGTGCGTGCATCATATTAATTATAGGTGGCGCTTGCTGGTTTTGAACATACTCCGTTGATATCGCATGCACATGATGTCGAATGTTGATAAATATCTTTGAAAATATTGAACGGAATTGAATCATTGTTGGACTGATATTTTTATCATAATATTGTAGTTTCTAAGGAATTAGAAATCACACAAATGACGATCAGAGACGATATATAGACCCACTGTCGAGCGAATTTGTATGTACCGGAGCAAATTTGGACTACCCCCTTCCTCTCAGAGGTGAGATCGGGGGTTTTGCGGCACGAATACTGGCCATACCGAGATTAATACAATTCAATCTATTTATGGGGCCCCGGGGCTTCATGGGCCTGTTCACCACTGATGACGTCTAGGGGCAAGGGTTATAATTAACACGACATATTGCCATATTTATGGCAAGGAATTAAATTTCCTTTATATTCAGACTGATGTTTCGGTAAAACATATTCCTGGAAACGGTTGAAATTCACGGAACGCACGATACCGACAATAAAAGTCCATCGGATGAAATCTTGAATATGTTTCTAACCAATTAATGTTAATTTCTTTAAAGGATGTGCTCAGACACTTGATCCAGGAAGCTGTTCTTCTAGAATTTATGCTCGTTACGGCTATGATACTAAAAGGCAAGCCTGTGTGAGATTTTTTTACAGTGGTTGTGGTGGAAACCAGAACAGATTCACAACCAGAAACTCGTGTAATGCCGCTTGTCCATAAACCAATTTTAACAGAGACCGTAATATTGGAAACTAATGTATTCCTTAACCTTCCTTGTAAAATATGAGACCGTAATATTGGAGACTAATGTTTTCCTTAACCATACTTGTAAAATAGTTGCATAAAGGAGGTAGCCTACCCGCTTTCGATTAAAACCACATGGAATTTTGTTTGTTCTTTATTCTTTTAATTAGATGCGACTTACTGTGTGGACGGTCATCACAGGTTAATTGACTTTTAATAATACAAAAGGCTACTGCCCTGCAATACATAATATATAATGATACAAAAGTTCAACATAGGACCGTCTGAAGCTATGCAGCATTCCAAAATGAATCTTAAGTGATATCAGATGTTCTAGAAACATCTCTCTTTAAATGTTATTACAAACTAATACTCTTAAACATCTCTCTCTCTTTAAATATAATTAAAAACTAATACTCTTAAACACGTACGATGCTACTGATTTATAAATTTAATTGGACATTGTGCATTAATAAACTGGCTGCAAGTTGCGGTGGATGGGTGTAATACACAAGGTGGGTATGTCCTGAAACACATTATATAACCACTTGCCACAGCGGACAGTTTTGTTTTCATCTTTATATTGGTTAATCATAAGATCTAACATTGAGTCAACTGTCGTGGTTTTGATTCCCCGTCCCCGGTTGTATGTAACAAGGAGTAGGGACGCCAGTCTAACTTGGTGGGTTTTCTCCGGGTCCTCCGGTTTCCTCCCACTGTTATGACCCCCTTACGCGCAAGCGAATTATTGAAATAAAATTGAATCATATGTTAGTCCCGAAATGACCTACTTTGTGTCGAATGGACGTTACCACTTTAATACCATTGACAATAAAACTTCCTCCATCTAACAGCTTTGTGTGGGAGCCCATTATCTTAATTACGGTGAATCAAGTAAAATATTTTCGTAAATAACTCATTACTTACAATGAATAACAACAATACTAACGCTAATTTGTTAGTTCAATTCACTTATCTGGAACGAAAGAAAACACGGTAATGGAATAAAGTTATTTATATTCATTTTATTCATTAATTTTATCTGTTAAAGTGGGATAAGGTAAAAGTAGACAAATGGCTGACAGTTCAGTTCTCTCTACAATAGTTGATAACATAGATAATGAAAAGAGAAAAGAGAATATGCTGAAACTTTCAGTCAAATTACTTCACTCCAAGCCGAGATATCGGCGTTACAATTATATCCAAGCCTCGATTATCATTACTACCGTTGTTACGATAATAAACAAAGTCTATTTTGCGCTAATCGCAACGACCACAAAACGTATTTAAATCTACAGTGCACTCTGTCACATCCGACATCGTACGGGATCGTTACAATATGTTATATCCCAGCGATCCGATGGATCAAGAGTTGATTATGGTTTTGGTAAGTTAATTAATATTACATTCCAGGCCTAAAGAAGACCCGCAATAGGCAGATTTAGCCCTTGCATAATGCCTGTTTAACTATTTTCTTCTTATGTGGTACATGTAATTATATTTTTCAAACAGTAATATAAAGATATCAAAGATACATTATTCAAAATTTAGATACAGAGATGATCGTTCTTGTTATAACAGACATTGTCAAATGAATTGACCTGCAATTTGGCAGAGTTAGCTCTTGCATAATGCCTCTGTATGGAACCACGCCCACTTTGATAGCTTTAGATCGTCAACACACACATTGATCAATATACATTAATGTATCTGATCCGTGACCGCATCACATGCCCGAATATATTTCATATTGCTGTACAATTACTTATATTACAAGGGGGTTGGATGGCCGAATGGTTAGCACGTGCGCACTGTATCATAAGGCCTGTCATTGAGTCAGCTGGTGTGGTTTCGAATCCCCGGTTGCACGTGACAAGGAGTAGGGTTGCCTGTACAACCTCGTGGGTTTTCTCCTACTGCTAAAGACCCCTACACGCAAGCGAATTATTGAAATAAAATTAAACCATATGTTAGTCACGAAATGACCTAGTCTGTGTCGAGTGGACGTTAAACTCCATTTCCCTCCGTTTCCCTACTTATATTACACATTTTGGTAGACGTATGTGAGACCATACATTCTAAGTGTTAGAACGGAACGGGATCACTGGGGATACTCTTTTAAGCTGGTAGAACTGTTGCCTTCATTATATTGTAATTTAACATTAAATGTTACTTCACTGTCTGTAATGTAACTTTACCTCTAGCTATTATACATCCAAGGTAAATTTACATATTATCTGTAAATGGAGGACATGTAAAATTACTATGAAGTTTATTTACATAGGTTGGTAAAATAACATTGTAAAACAAAACATGTTATGTAATTATACCTCGTTACAAATGGCAATGTTTCTACATGTAAATTTACCATTCTAGTGTGGATTTACATAATTATTATGTAATGTGCCGAGATATAATATTAGTAAAGGGAATGTGGCTGTTGTCATTTGGCTAAGTGGTCCTGGGTTCGATCTTGGTGAATATGTAAAACAACATTAGACAACGGAAAGGGTAGGTAGGATGACACTGTCCGAATAAAATGTCCCACTCAAGACAATGAATGGCATAATGCCTGTCTTCATTAGCTAGATTTTCAATAACCGCATTACTCTAAAAATAGACTAAACTGACTGAAAGATTAGCAAAATTTCGACATGTGGTCAAAGGGGGAATAACCGATGTGACCACTATTTGATAGTAAATTTACAATTTTCTTTAAAAATAATATTTCAAATGGCATTTAATATACAGCTCAAATATGGTTGTATTTCTACATTACGTTTTATGTAATCGTGCATTAGCCTTGTATTCATATGTACTTACACGTGATCTGACAAACCCGACAGTATATTTATACATGAAACTGTAAATATACATATAATTGTAACATAGTAGTTACCTGGTTGAACATGGAACAATGGTTCCATGACACTTCGCATGTCCTTATTGCCTTAGATCTGGCGATTTTCTTGCCCCCCCCCCCCCAAAAAAAACAACCCTGGATGCGGACCTTTTAACCTTATTAAAATATATGCATAACATGATAGCAAGGTATAAACTACTAGACTCGAAGCTTGTTTGTTATGAATGTATTATAATAATGGATCTTATCGAGTACGACCGAATACATGGGTTTTAATTATAGTCATATTATTGAAGAGCAATATAATTGGAAATTTATACTACATTGAAGTATAATGTTATATGAATGTGATAAGAGTCAGAGCTAAATAGATATCTGTTACGATACATGTCTATTTAAAGCATAATTGCTTTGTTTTCAAATTATATTTAAGACAGGATGTTTTGTAGACGCTGCGACCACCAACAGAAATTGTGAATAAAATGCCACGTCGAGCCCAGTTTAACTAATTCTTTGCGTCATTGGGTATATTCAACCAATCAGCTAATTAATAACTTGATGCCCGGGATCACCCCGACTGAGTTTTGCCCATCCAAATTCCTAGGAGGACAATGTTCAACCCCAAATTCTAATACGAGTATATATCAGTATATTAATCCATTCAAACACTTAACATTAGAAGACAGCAAGAGAGAGAGAGAGAGAGAGAGAGAGAGAGATGGGGTTTAACGTCCACTCGACACAAACTAGGTCATTTCGGGACTAACTTGTGGTTCAATTTTATTTCCATAATTCGCTTGCGCGTAGGGGTCTTTAGCAGTGGGAGGAAACCGAAGGACCCGGAGAAAACCCACGAGGTTGGACAGGCGACCCAACTCCTTGTCACGTACAACCGGGGATTCGAAACCTAGAAGACAGCGGTTTTTTTTTCATAAGCAACAATCTGTTTAAACGATGATGTTGATGTTCACCTATATTACATAGAACTGCTTAAGCACATTCCTATGGAAGACCAAATGGGACAATATTCATGATTCTTGTTTCTACATTCCAGTTTGAATATTTTAGACATGAACGCAACATTCTAAACTAATGATTCTTGTTTCTACATTCTTATGTCAACATTTCATGAACAAAATCAACATTTGACTTTATGTTTCATTTTCGGCGTTTTATCGGTAACTTTTATATATATATTATTAAATATTAAAATTAAAAAATAATTTCTAAATTTTACACGACAAAGAAATCAATTCATTGGTTTCTGAAAGCATCTAAAAAAATATCTGGAATTTGAACTCTTATGAAAATATTTTCTACGTTTCAAAAAGTCTTGAAGTTAAAATCTTGAAATGAAAATGTCCAGAAAAATATAACGAATAATCAACATTATTACACCAGAGGGCGTTAGCGTATGTGTACAACTTTGATACAGACTGTAGATTAGAAATCAAAAGTAGACTTTTCCACGAGTGGAAGTGGGTCTCTGTTGTGTTTACAGTAACTAGATACGGTATGTCAAGAGACGTACTCAAGTGGTTTGCGTCCTATCTGAGTGGAAGACAACAGACTATAGATTAGAAATCAAAAGTAGACTTTTCAACGAGTGGAAGTGGGTCTCTGTTGTGTTTACAGTAACTAGATACGGTATGTCAAGAGACGTACTCAAGTGGTTTGCGTCCTATCTGAGTGGAAGACAACAGAGTATTGCTATTGGTGTATCTCAATCAATGCCTAAAGTTCTTGTTTTTGGTTAGTAGGACGTTAAACCCCATTTCATTTCATTTCTTGATTTTGGTGTTCCCCAGGGATATGTATTTGGACCGTTTTTTCACAGCATATACTGCGCAAATTGGAGATATCATCTGTGAGGTGGGTCTTATTTACCACCTCTATGCGGATGATACCCAGTTATATGTTGAATTTGATCCTTTACCTGATACCAATACATCAGAACTTGAGGTATGCATTAAACAAACAGAGAGAGAGAGAAATGGGGTTTAACGTCCACTCGACACAAACTAGGTCATTTAGGGACTAACATATGGTTTAATTTCTATATTTCAATAATTCGCTTGTGCGTAGGGGTCTTTAGCAGTGGGAGGAAAGCGGAGGACCCGGAGAAAACCCACGAGGTTGGACAGGCGACCCAACTCCTTGTCACGTACAACCGGGGAATCGAAACCACGCCAGTTGACTCAATGACCGACCGTATGACACAGCGCGCGAGTGCTAACTATTCGGCCACCCAACCCCCCTTGAACAAATAAGAATCTGGATGCACTGCAACTGTTTGAAATTGAACGATGAATAAACAGAAAA